AATGCATTACTACAAATGAAAACAACTTCTTAAAACTGCATCTTCTTTCGATGGCCAGTCATCCAGTACATACAACTTCACACATAAGGTTCAGAAAATTATTACATGCATAAAGATTTATTTCAGAGAGAGAGAGGAGCGTGTGTGCATGCACAATGGGGGGCGGGCAGAGGGAAAGAACCCCAAGCAGAATCCCTGCTAAACTGAGAGCCCAATGCAGGGCTCAATCCCTGGACCCTGAGATCAAGACCTGAGCTGAAATCAAGACACGGATGCTTAACCGACTGAGCCACCCAGCTGCCCCGTCGCTATGGTTTTATTAAGGCAATATTCACACCATCCCTGAATAATTTCTGAGTCCATCTTAGTGTCCAACATTAACACTTACAATGACTAGTCTTTCCATAAACATCTTGTGCAATTAAATTTGTTTTGTTCACCATATTATTTTAAAAATAAACTGTTATTTAAGCAAGTAGAGAAATGTTAACATACCTACAGTTTCATTAAAAAAGATTAAGCTCTGATGCTTTAAGAGCTAAGTTCAGGAAAATTCCTTGAAGTTGAAAATATCTTTCAGCTACAAAGCAGCTAGATGAGGAATGGCTCTCTGATGTTCAGGTGCCAGACCTTTCTCACAACCTTGCTGGCAGTTACCTATTCTACAGACTCTGTAACATCAAAACTGTAGGTGAACAAAGCTAAATGCCACCGTTTTATTTTCACAAAGCCAAAAAAATAGTTTTTTTTTTTTAAAACCACTGTTTTATGTATCAGCTATTTCTGCATTATGAAATAATTCACTTCAGTGTCCTACTCTAAAAATGAGACAAATACTCAACTTGATATGATTATTAGCAAATATGCTTTTATCACATCCAATCCTCCATAAATTAATAACTTGTGAGGTTTTTAATTTAAGTGGTAAGATGTTAAAACTAAAGAGGACACCATAATTAGGAAAACTGATATAATAAACTTTGAAGCTGGGGGGGGGGGGGAGTCCCTTATTGTCCTAAGACGTTTTTTCTATGTCAATATATACTTAATTTTTGACATCACCAAAACATTCCTTGATTTCAAAGAAATAACTTACTTCTAGCTCTCTTAAAATAGTGGCTGCATCATTTGTCACAAACAACTTCTCCAGGTGGTTGATAACCATTTTGTTCATTCCTGAAAAAAAAAGAAAAAAGTTAGAAAAAGAAATCCATTATCGCTCAAATCTTTCTCCAAATACCCAAGGAAACCTAGTCAAGAAATATAAGCTTGTATCTATTTTTTAAAATAACTATAAAAATTCGACACATATTATTTACTCTTTAAAACTCTATTAGCCTAAATGCACCCCCATATTATTCCTGTCCTTTCTAACCTCCTAATGTTTATTAGGGAAGACGTCTATCTTCTCATATTTTTATTCAATAAATGTAAATTACGTTAACATAAAGACCAAAAAATCTACTTAAAAGTATGGTTTTATTGTTTTCCATACATGTGTACCAATTACATTCAGTTGATGGTAGGAGGCAAAAGAGAACTTTCTTCCTTACATTAGGTATCATCTCAATAGTGAAAGCACCATAATTTTTCTATCCTTTCAATTATGATAAAAAATAACATTTTGAATCCTATTTTTCTAAAGAGACCTGAGTTGCTGATTAAAAACTGAAAACACTACACTGGTGGCAATAAACTATGAAATTACTTCTGTATGGTGGCTAATACTCTCATTTTACGTATAATATTCTTAGAGTAAGTGTGAAGAAGCTAGTACACAAAATTCTATCACTGTATCTTTTAAAAACATGAACCTGGAAATTACCATTTGGTCCATATGCTGTACGAGTTGTTTGGGCAAGCTCCTTGCAAGCCTGTATGTTCCTGTACACAGCCTCTTCTAATCCGGAAAAATGCTGTAAAAAAAAACAAAAACAAATCCCCCTTCTGATTAGACAGAACAGTGAAACACAAAGATTTTCTTCATCTCAAAATGGGTATAATAATAATAGTACCTACCTACAGGACTGCTGAAATAATAATCAAGCAAGGCTTATGTGAGGAAACCATGGTGCTTGCTATTCATAAATGATCCATAAATTTGCTCACTGGCTGAATAAAGTGACATTTTTAGGGACCACGGGTACCTGCTTACACATCAAAACATAAAGCCTATAATTTTTTTTTTCAAATGTAGTCAAAGTGCAGGGAAGAATGCTGTGATTGATCAGTGAATGCAGATGAGGTATTTCAGGTAAAAATACCTTTTCAGTTTATCATTACTTTTTTACTCAATTTGAAAATATGGTATGAATACTTTTATTATGTTAGGAACCTGAGCATTATAAAGCCAGCAGTCTTCTGTTTGTTGGGAATTTCCACTTAACATACCTGCCCCCAAATGTTTAGTATACGGACTTCTGAATGCTTTTGTGAATCGGAACACAATCCTAATGCATCCATACTGAAAAACTGCTGAATTCCTCACAATATGAAAAGTCTCAAACTTTATACCTGACTTCTTTTAGAATTGGGATTTACCTGTGGCCTCAGATGGGTTTCATGAGCCTCCTGTTTGTTCATGTGAACATTTTTCTAGAGTTGCTATGCCTAACATAGTAGTCATTAACCACATGTGGTTATTTAAATAATTAAAATTAAAAATTCAGTTTCTCGGGATGCCTGGGTGGCTCAGTCGGTTAAGCATCTGCCTTTGGCTCAGGTCATGATCCCAGGGTCCCGCTTCTCCCTCTGCCTGCAGCTCCCCCTGCTTATGCTCACACTTGCACTCTCTTTGACAAATAAAATCTTAAAAAAAAAATTCAGCATCTCAATTGCACTAGCCACAGTTCAAGTGTGGCTTGAAAAAAAATTCAGTATCTCAACTGCACAAGCCACATGTGGCTAGTGGATACTGTACTAGACAGAACTGATATAGAACATGTCCATCATCATGGGTAGTTAGTTCTATGAGATGGCTGTGTTCTAGAGCATAAGGTGTGGCTTTTATAATATTCATAAAAGGAACTGATCTGCATCATGTTAATAACCATTACTTTAGAAGCAATGTCTTCAGAGTTGAGAGCTGAACTCTTACAATAGCACTTAGTCTGATCTTGCTTACACGCTGGCTTTTTCCCTCACCCATTCTCTGAGGAACAGCCATGTGATCATAAATTGGATCCCATCAATGGTTTCCCATCACTCTTACGATAAAATGTAAAACCCTCCTCAGGTCTACAAGGTCCTACATGTTCTAGTCCTTACCTACAGCTTCTCTAAATTCATCTCTCACCATTCTTGCTTTCCCTTAATGAGGTTCAACCCCATCACCTTTCTGTTTTAACAGGTCAAACTCATTTCATCCTTAGGGCCTTTGTACCTACTACTTTCTCAGCCTGGAACACTGCCCTGTTTAATCTTGGCTGTTTCCTTTCGTCACTAAGTACTGAGCTAGGAGTTCTTCCTTGAACATCTTACTTAATTGTTCTATCTACCCATGACCCTTCATTTTTTTTCAGGGGGAGGCAGACTTTCGTACTTCCTGTCATTCTCTACTACAGTACTTTCTATCGAATCTTTTTTTTTTTTTTTTACAATACTCTTTATTTCTTTCATCAGTATTTGAAATTATCCTTACTTGTCTCAAAAGAATAAAAACTACGAAAAATTCAGTCTCACTTTTTAGAAGAGTCAATGTCATTACCAGCAAAGCTATTTTACTAGTATTTACATTAAACCCTGATATTTGATACACTCGTGTTATCCCAAGTGTATTCTGCCAACAAGAACCTAGTTCCCTAACACTGTTACTGTAAACTGAACCACAATGATCTATATTTCTTGAATTAAGTATTGGAAATTTGGGGGACAAATAAAGGAACACTTTGAACACAGACAAACTTATCAGTAGTATACTGAGATATTTTAAAGAACTTAGGTTCTTGAAATGACGTTCACGGTCTGACCACAAAACAAAAAGTTTTAATTAGTCCAGGGTGTCCCGTATACTTAACACGGTAAGTCAGAGAGTTACACCTCAAAGCTACCATCTTTTGCTTCATTTAAAGAGCAAAGCAAGACCTGAGGGTTGGTTTTACATCAAACTAGCTAATCTAAGTTGGGACCAGAACGCATTTCAATTCAGAGTAACGTTTTTCCTACCATAACGGACTACTACGAACGAACCGGGCAGCCCTCCCTCTATCCCTCATCTGAAGGAAAGCTGTCAACAACTGGCCCTTGTCCCTCTCCTCGGATTACCCACACCTTGAACTGTGTCAATCGGCTTCGCGGTTCCCAAAGCAATTTCACCTACGTTATTCGACTTCACCCTCAAAACACCCTTTACAGGTGGAGAGCCAAATCAAACCCCGTTTTCGGGATGGAGGAAAATGCACTAGCTACTTTCCGCTTGCCCGGCTAGGAAGCATAGTACGCGAATTCTGTAGCCTTACCCCTCTCTCGCCGCCTCTGCCCCTCGACCATTCCCAACCTCGGGGAAGAACGGAAACGCCCGCGGGCCTCGGTGGCCGAGACTCCCCACGCCTCCCAGAACACCTCCCTTTCTGGAATCTTCTTTTCCTCCGACCGCTGTGCCCGGGGAGCACACCGGGCCCCTTAGCAGGCCCCTCTCCTTCGCTCCAGCCGCCGCAGCCCTACGGTAACTCTCCTACCTCACTCCCTCTTCCTCCATGCCTTACCTTCGCTCCTTCCTTGAGCATCTGGGCAAAGCCCGGGGCCTTGGGGACGTGAAGCGCCATGGCCTCCGCAGGTAGCCGTTCACGCGCTCGCTCAGAGAATCCGGGAGGCAGCGAGGGGCACGCAAAGCCTCCTGGGGACGCAGCGTGCGGCAACCTCACGCTCCTCCTTTCTCTCCAGCTGGGCCCGCCTCTTCCCTGGCCGCCTGGTCTGAAGCCTCGCGAGAAAAAACAGTTCCTGCAGCCAGAACTGAGTTGACGATCCTCGATCACATCGATCGATGGGGCCGCTCGCAGAACGCGCCCTCGGTCGTCCGGCTGGCAAACGGGCCAGCGACCTGGCGGTATATTAACCCCGTTGCTGAGACTCCAAGGTCGGGACGTTTGGTGTTTTGCTATTTCTTGACCTGGAACCCGATCCTCTTAAGATTAAATTGCGCGAAATCTTCCAGACCCACCCACAACATCAGGGCAGGTGTGCCTTTTTTCTCCGAGGCGGAGCACCTGTTCTCCTCCACCGAAATCTGTCGCTGGGCGTCCGCTCTGTCTTGGGCACTGTGGGAAGCTCTGGCGACTTTAGGGCGATAAATAAAATCTGTAGGAATAACGATACACCGAATGCGCTCATATGTGCCAGGCTCTGTGCTATTTACTTTACGTGCGGTGTTTTAGCTAACGGTTGATCTTAGGAGTTCACTGTTACTACCTCCTTTTGCTACGGGGAAACCGACGTTTACAATTTGTTCAAGATCACAGCGCTAATAATGTTAAACCTAGGATTCCTACCCAGATCGGACTGATTACAAAATACGAGTTCTTAACCATTACCTATATTCCTCTTTTCTGCTTCTTCCTGGAAATATAAATCTATTTTATGCTCCCAGAATCTTAAAACTCGATCTCTGTGTCTTCCCAAATCAACATATGGTTGATTTCAGCAAGGTTGAATGTAGTATTTTTAGGAATAATTGCACTCCATGAAAGTAATCCACTCTTGTTAAAATACAGAAAACGTGAAGCAGAACGTTTTGGCTCGACTTTTGTTCTTTGACTCGGACACTTGCAAATTGCTTATTTTTTTAAAATTGGGACAGTTTTGCTGTGCCTTAAGGAATTATCAGATGCATCAAGTGTATCATCAGTTATAACTTCTAATAAGCACTTAAAATACATAATTATTGAAATAAAACTTTTTTTTTTGCCATGTCAAATCAAATGATACGTGAACCACTTGTTGGGAAACATTATAAGATATCAGGGATTCTCAAAAGTGTGGTCCAGGCACCTCTGAGGCTCACCCAGACCTGAGGGTCCTCAGGAGAAAACTATTTTTATAAGACTAAGACATTTGCTTTCTCATTCTTTAATTGGGGAGTTTTCCAGAGATGCACGATGTGTGTGATTAAAACAGTTTGAATGTAAAGGGCTTGAGAAGCCAGGTATTATTAAGCCAAATATAAAAGAGATTTACAAAAATGTAAAACAATGCCACTCCTCATTATTTGGTTTTGAAAAATAGAATTTTGAAAAAAGGATTATTTACATATTTCTAGAGAGAGAGAGTGAGAGAGCACGCACGAGTGGGGGGAGGGGCAGAGGGAGAGGGAAAAGGAGTGAAGGGGACTACCCCCTGAGGGGGAAGCCTGAGGGGGGCAGGTAGGGGAGGCTCTCACCACCCTGAGATCCCTCTCCCTCTGCCTCTCCCCTTCCCCCCTTCCCCCCTCATTGTTCATGTTCTCTCTCTCAAATAAATCTTAAAAAAAAAAAAAAGATTTACACTGAAACCAGAGGTACTATAAGATTGCAACACAGGCTGTGGGATACCACGGCTAACTTTTTATATTCTGCCCCACTATTCTGCGGGGGATAGAATAGGATGATCCATGCCCCTTCAGAACCCTGGAGATGGTGAGAAACTGCTTCCTGACAGCTTTCCAGAGGGGCTAGGGAGGTGTTGAACTTTAGACCCAAGATGGAGCCACTCTTGTCCAGGGTGCCACATCAGCAAACTGAAACTTAGACAACTTTTGTGTCCCTGGAAACACTCTCTGCCCAGAAATGCAGTATATCCAGTCAGCCAATCCCCAAATGCCAAGCCAACCCTGGGCCTTCTCATTCCAAACAAGGTTGACTATGTGGCCCCAGACAATCAGAAATTATCTATTTGTCTTGTTCTTATTCTTTATCCTATAAGAGCTTTTTGCCTTGCACTCCACTTTGCGGTTCTCCAAAAGGTGACTCTTCATAAAGTTCGAACTGAAGTTTGTTTTTATCACCTACATTGTCTTCTTTAATAATTTTTTTTTTTTTTTTTTTTTTTTTAGCAGAGGTGAGAGGGAAAGGGCCTTGGAGAAGCTCTTTGGAGGCTTCCTATCCTCTTGTATTCCAGGAGAATCCCAAAACATTCTGCCAAGACCCAGGTTAGTTTGGGATTGCGTTTGCTTGGGTGGTCTACGTGGATAGATGCAAAGTTGCCATGGCACCGTGGCAGATCCATTCCCCTAGTTTCTTGACACTGTTTTTCCTTGTGGCTATCTTTAGAGGGTTCACTCCAGCAGTGATTCCGGGTCCTCAAAGGGGTGCATCTTGCCATTCCATCTTTTGAACGCTTACCCTTCCTCCCCACTCTGCTGAAATAACACTTCTGGAGCCCCATGTTGTGAGAGATCTTACAGCCTTTTGTTACCCTTGATTATTTCCTTATCAATAGAATACTGGCTTCCTAAAATATCACCAAGACAGCATGTTAATGAGACAAAGCTGAGTTTATTGTACTGCAGTCAGGGAGAATACTACTTTGATAGAATCTTAATAACATGTCATTTGGGGAGTTGCAAAGTTAGGATGTTTATGGGTTTTTGAAGTCCAGGTAATGAAGGTCTTTCAATGCAGGGGCTTGGGTTGGTTCGAATATGGATCATGATACAGGATTGATGAGCACAGCAAGATGAGGATTTGAGGCAAGGCTTTCAAAGAATCTTGAAGTATAAACTGTCATTTGATGCTTTCTATTGAAGAGTGGTGGATCTTTCATGAACTTCCTGGAAGGAACAATAAAGTTATTTGCAGCTTTTATCTTCCTGGGTCAGTGTTTCCTGGAATAAATAAATTGATGAAGACATCGCACTGGTAAAGTCATGCTAATGTGGACATCAAGCTGTGTGGGTGTAGATGGTTTCAGTTGTCACTCCTGACACTTTGCCTAGTGACAATCAAAGGGGATCCTCTCCAGATGATTAAATCTCCCATGAGCTTAGCATCAGGAATGGTATATTAGTTCAGAGAAACTGTGTGTTTCCATTGATCTAAATGCTGGTGGTAGCGGCTATGTTTGGAATCCAAAGAGGGAGCTGGAATGATCCTGAGCTGACACAGGCAGATGCCTCTCTTGCTGACACCAATCCCCACACCATGACCAATATGTCTCTTCTCTATTTTTGGTTGTTTAGCTGGACCTTGTTTCCCTTCCAGTGAATAAAATTCCTCTATTAGCATGTGGCGTAGTTGGGAACTTAAGACCTTATTTTAAAACTATCAAGTGAACTTACTATATGTATTCTGGCTATATTAATCATTTTACTGACGGAGGCCTTAAGTCCAAGTTTGTAGGTTCCTCTTTTCTTAGTTATAGGGAAAAAAACTTTCACAGAGGTAAGGAGGTTCTAGTTATGCTCGTGTTTTTCAAACTTACAGGAGGCAGAGGGATGGTGGCTGTCAAGCTCTCTTAGTCAGCTCAGGCTGCCACAACAGAATATTCTGTTTTATTCTGAGGCCTCTTTCTTGGCTTGTAGGTGGCTGCCATCCTGCTATGTGCAAGATCTCTGATAACATTTCTTAGGAGGACATTGATTCAATTCTATCCGAACACCATCTTAGGACCTCATTTCACTTAAATTACCTCCTCGTAGGCCTATCTCCAAATATAGTTACATTGCGGATGAGGGCTCCAACATATGAATTTTGGGGCATTAAGGTCAAAGTATTCTCCATTCTTATAGGAACTTTTTGGTCCTGATTAATTTCTCTGATAAATCAGCCGAGATTCACCTTGATGCACATAATGCCTTTAGTAGACTTCCCGCTGTCTTCCGGATGTTGGACCACATTTCTGTCATCTTTGGACTTTCATCTATTCTATGAACCCCCTAGCAGGAAGAACCATTTAAACACCTGGTCTGTTAAAGAACAGATGGAGACATTCCTCCAGCCTCAAAACATCAAAAGACAGATTTAATTTCCCATGAACCATTTCTCTGGGGCCCCCAAGGAGATGTTGAATGGTAAATTTCCCACCGATTTCATTTGCAAACAGATGCTTCTTATTCTAAACAGTAACATAAGGCACAAACCTGGAAAGGTCAGTTCCCTCTATTCTGGGAAGTGAGTTAGGCTCCTTGAGGTTTCAAGGAAAATAAATCACTTTAGAGGGTGTGGATTATTAAGGATTGCAAAAAAGTAAGAAATTGCACTTCTGTCCTAGGGCGAGATGACTTCATGTATACTGCTGCAGGTTGGTGTCTCTGAGTTACTATTTTTATACCTAAGTTTATCTCTGTTTCTATGGCTTCTGCTTCTCTTCACCTCCTTCAACTGTTGGCCTCTTTTTCTTCTCTCTACATTTAGCTTCAGCTTCTTTCCTTGTCTCTATGTGTCTCTTAGCTGCCCTGTCCCCCTCAGGTGGGTTTCTGTGTGTTTCATATTTAAACATCCCAAGAGAGAACATCTGGTTGGTTCAGTGAATTGCTATCTAACAAAAACCCCCCAGGTTCTGCTGAATTCTCAAATCAAGGGTACTACAAGCCCCTATGGCTGCCTTAGCCTAAGCAAGAATTGCTGGCATGCTTAATGGTGACCAGGGGCCAGGATCATCTGTAACTTTAGTATAAGGAATGCTTATGGCTTTTTTGTTCCAAGATGGACTGTGGATGTGACCCACATTCAGAGGTTCATAAGTAGTCCAGCCAATCTATCCAAGGCAATGCTGTAGTGAACAGCTCCCCTGAAGTCTTTCTGGGTCGAGGCAAAGTAAAAAGAGATGAAATGTGTTATAGTTAATCACTCCCTGAGTATTAACCATTCTGAGAATGGAGATCTTGGACTGTATGAACGTGATCATTTCCTCTTACTTTAAACGTTGGCTTAGTTGCCCCTGTGCCGATCTGTGCCTAGCCAAGATTGAGCTGGTTAGGTTACGGGAATGAGAAAGGGGAAATGGAGAAAGACACATTTAGATTCCATTGGTGATGCCTCAGATCTCTGGAGATTGATGATATCTCTGTCTTAGGGGACTGAGAGACAAGTTCTCCTTCTGCTTTTACGAACGGATTGCTGATACGCTAAAACTGTGCTCATCACTCCCTCTTTTAGAAAAACAAAGAGTTACCACCATAGCTCCTCTGATGGACATGCAAGACTGGTGCCCTTGTGCCGACCTCTGTTGCGGAGGCCAGGAAGCCCAAACTGTACCTCCCAGATTCCCTCATGGTTAAGGTGCTGGGTATAAGTGAGACTTCCAGCAGCTAGATACACACTGTGAGGGTTGGAAGGTGGTAAGGAGATCTGGTTGATTTTCATGAGGACTTGGTGTGTCCCCCAATAGGCAGGGTCATGACAGGATGCATTTTTGACATCCCAATTCCATAGTCTCCACGCAAAATGTGTGGCCAGGAGACAGCTTCCTCATCCTGGCTTCTTGCTCTCTACATCAGAGCAGTGGTGGGGTGCTCCTGATCTCAGACTGTCCAGTGGTGTTTCTTGATTCTCAACTTTCCCATGATGTAGAAAGTATAGATCTTAAGGTGGGTCAGTTCTGTGACATTTGGGATTTATTCCCGGAGGACCATCTTAGAGCTTGCTACTCCATCCTATCACGGATGTTTCAAGCATCTGATTCCTTGTATTAAAGCCTTTCTGCTTGTAATACTTAGAGTGGTTTTTGTTTCCTACATGGGATGTTGATTGAGAAATTCCTGTGTGTATGATTTTTAGGAAGCTAAAAGCACTCATGGCCAGCCTTGTGAGCTAACATAGGAAATGAAATTCGGAAGTCATTCAGGATCTTGCCAAATCCAATTTTTACTCTTGGTTTTTAAAAGTTTTGTTTTTCAACTTAATTTCTTGTGGCTGGCCCAGACCTGGCAGGTAGAGCTGAGAGTCAGGAAAGATTTTGAGATGAACCTGGTGAGGATGATTGAAGAAGCCCCCTAGCAAACAGTATGAGACACCCCCCTTTTCTCAAATTTATAATTCGAGATAATTCGCTCTCTTTCTAGTGTATGCAGAAAACATGTCCTTTCATAGTCTTACTGATTTATAAGGTCAAATTAAGTAAGTTCCCCAGTGAGGATTTTCTGTTATTAAAATAGTTTACGGTCTGCTGGTGACTGACCTTTCTAGTTCTGCTCTGATGGACCAAGTATATAATATGTCCTGCTCCCCATCCGCAACCTCTTAAAAAAAGGTAAATCCTCTACTCCTTTCTAATTATGGATTTATCAGATTACTGTTTCTTTAAAAAAATATTTTAGCTAGTTGCCCATGAAAAATTGCAAGTCTGGGTTTCTCAGGCCAATATTCTCAGAAGCAACAGGCTTTTGGCAAGGCTCTTCCATGGTAAATTATTTTTCCTTTCTGTATATTTTATGCAGAAATCTCTCAAGAACAAGATAAGATCATTCACATCTTTTTTTTTTTTTTTATCTTTACTTAGTATTTGGTTCTGTGGGTAGGAACCAGTTGTAGGCTAACCTATACAACATTGAACCCAATCCAGAGTCTTCTATAGAATTTGCATCTTAACACCAGTGTAAAGATCTGGGTTTGGAAGAACAGTTTCCTGATCAATTGAACAATTATCTCAGGATGAGTAAAACAGAAATGTTCGAAGACCTCCTTTCTTTTTAATCATTTCTTAATATTCAGGATTATTTTTGGATGAGCTAATTGAATCCCTCCCTACTCCCATTCAGAGTGAAAATAGTAAATATTATCTACTAATATTACCAAGCTCTAGAAATGATTTTCACCAACTCTTGGTCCTATTTTCTAATACTACGTAAAAAAATAGCTCAAATTCAGGTACTGTAGCAGTTAGTGATTGCTGTATCAGCTATCAATAGCAAACCACTCCAAAGCTTAGCGGCTTAAAACAACAACCACTTATCATTTCTCACACGTATAGGACTGCTTGGGCACTTTGGTTGATCTGGACCAGGCTTTGATGTATTAGGGCAAGGACTGCATTAGGGCAAAGACAGTCAGCTTGTGGGTAGGCTGGGAACTGGCAGGTTAGGAGGCCTCAAATGGAACAATTTAGCTGTGTCTCACAGGACTTCATCCTCCAGCAGGCTACCTGGGCTGGTGCTCACTGAAATGGAGAGTTCCAAGAGAGCAAGCCGAAATGAGCAAGCCCTTCATCAAATTTGCTACTTTCATATTGGCTGAAGTAGGACACATGGCCCAGCCCAGAATCAGTGTGGGAGGGAAGTACTGGAGAGTGTAGATGCAAGGAAGTATGACAATTGAGGACAATAGGGCAGTCTATCATAGCCACTCAAACACCAATCACCCTTTTTTGCTAAGAGTTTTCCAGCATTCGCTGGCTTTTTATTCAACAATTCCACTCAGCAGGTTATCTTAGGAAAATATCAGAATGAATGTGTCTTGTAGGATTCACTAGAAAGCAATATTACTTGAATTAAGGTTTCCTCCAGTTTTTTTTTTTTTTTTAGTATTTGGCCAACAACTGTTCTTTTCTTTCTTTTTTTTAAGGCTTTATTTATTTGAGACAGAGAGAGAGAGAGAGAAGCACAAGCGGGGGTGGGCAGAGGGAGAGGGAGAAGCAGACTGAGCAGGGAGCCTAATGCGGGACTCGATCCCAGGACCCTGGGATCGTCACCTGAGCTGAAGGCAGACAATTAGCCGACTGAGCCACCCAGGCGCCCTTTTCCAGTGCTTTACTGGGGTTTTTTTTTTTTTTTTCTTTTTCTTGAGCCACAGTGAATGATTGGTAATATCTGTGTTATAAAGATTCAAGCTAAAAATTAGTGTGGTCATTCTTTGTGTTGTCGAGCATTGGTATCTTTTCCATTTATTTATATTTTGAAGTGAATTCAGAAATATTTGCAGGGCATGATATCAGTCCACTCCCAAGGTACTTGGGTGTTTATCTTGGTCAATTCTTCAGTTTTCCCTGCTTTATTTTGCTACATAGAATATCTGTACCCTGGAATTCTAGTTTGAGAATATAACTTTTAATCATCCTTTATCCTTATCAGAAACCTAATTGCAAAAATTTATGTTTGTGAGAAATCCCTTGAATGCCATGCAGTTCGTTCTCCTTTAGATAACAAATTTGCTGTTGGATCAAGCCAGACCATCAAAATTCTAGTTATTTGGAGAATTGAGTTTGACAAATTGCATTTTGGTATCATGCCATTGTCTTATAATAAGGAACAGCCAAATGTAATGGACTATTGTCTCTACTCTTGGCCTGTTTTCCTGGATGTCAAACATTTCATTACATTTCCTTTTTATGTGACTTGTCGGGAAAACTTATCTCATTATTCCACCATTGTTTTTATTTTATGGCCTCTATGAATCTTACAACTTCTGTGTTTCTCTCTTAAACTGCTGGAATTTTTGAGCCAAATGTGTAGCCCAGCTCTGCCAACCATAGAGGCCAATGGTGCACCATTTCTGTATACTACTTTTACTACTTGGTTTTATTATTTTCTTGCTTGGTTTTTCTTTCTTTTCTTTTCTTTTCTTTTCTTTTCTTTTCTTTTCTTTTCTTTCTTTCTTTCTTTCTTTCTTTCTTTCTTTCTTTCTTTCTTTCTTTCTTTTCTTTTTGACTATCTCAGCTTAAAAAAATATATTTACTGATTTTATTTGTTTTTTTATAAGCCCCATCAAATCCTTATGGAATGAGGTGGGATAAAAAATATATATATTTAAAGTGCTAGTTTATGGACTTAAAGATGGTTTGAGCATGATTCAAGACCTTAGAAGCCTCACTTCAGAATGATTTTTTTTTTTTTTACTAATTTAGGGAGAGGAATTTACAGTTTTTGTTAGAAACACGATCAACTGTAAGTACAACAACACTAAAGTTTAAAACAAGCTTGAGAACTTACATTACTAAACGTAGATTCTATTAAAAATAATAAGGGGAGAGGCTCCATCAGTTAAGCGCCTGATCTTGATTTAGGCTTAGGTCATGATCTCAGGGTTGTGAGATTGAGCCCTACGTCAGGCTTCATGCTGGGCGTGGAGCCTGCTTAGGATTCTCTCTCTCCCTCTCCATCTGTTTGCACCCCCCCCAACCATGTGCTCTTGTGCGCTCTCTCTCTCTCTCTCTCTCTCAAAAAAAAAAATAATAATAAGGGGAACTAAAGGATCATTGAAGAATTCTTTTCTTTAAGGTACACACACTAATTGATTCATATAAGATGGTCCCTGATTTCTTTTGGGTACTTAGCCCATGAGCCAGTACTTATTTTTGTGGTTGGATTAGTAAGGATGCTTGATGGTTCAAATGCTTATCAGCCATCGTCATACTTGCTTGTCCTATTCTTAATGTTTTGGCTATTTTTATTACAATGATTTCCGCTAGGATTTTCATTAGGGTCAGTCTCAGGGAGATAAAAGTAGGAACGGATCCGTGTGTCTATTTATGTAGTGGATGGCTAGAGAAATTACATTTTCTCATTGTTATTTGATTTAACTATTTTCTGTTCCTTCGCAGATACTCGCTCTTCTGACTGCCAAAGCACACTACTGAGGCGAAAGTTAAATCACAGCAGGAATCCTGATCAAGAAGAAGGGTAGTGGCTACCAAAAATCCCCCTCCAAAAGATCTTCTTGTCCTCCGACATCATCACACAGGGATTTTTGACAACTTAGGCAAATACAGGCTAACAACACTTAGAAATTAACTTTCTGAGATGAATAAGATAATTTATGCATAAATGAGAGATACGGGGAAGGAACGTGTTTAGAAAATGCAATACTACACAGTCACTCATCTCAAGAAGACTCTCAAGCTTTGCCAAAAATTTACAAAGGAAAAAGGAAAACATGTTAGCCAGGAAACTGCATCCTCAAGCCCACCACTTTCTTCTCATTTGAGGTACGAAATGACTCTTAGGCCCCTACCTGGGGCCTTTTGGACTGAGAATTATTGTCAAAAAATGCTACTCATTCCCATAAACTCTATACTGCGGTCTAGTTTCTCACACAGGGCAAATGAGAACAGGTGTGAGAATGCACAAGCTAACAGTCCGACCTACTGATAGTTGTAAAGAGTGACAGAGGATAGCCAGACAGATGAGGGCCTGACATTCTTAAAGGAGACATGAAGGACTAGAGGAGCCAAAGTGAGGCTATTTGGTGAAGTGATTGTGTGCAGCAGTTAGTTACACTTCAAGTGATCATTGGCTGTGAAAAGACTAAACAAATAATGATTCTTGCATCTTATTTAAGTGGTTGCTGAATATGTAAAATACATTTAAGTTCTATCAAAAATGATGAAAAAACATCTTTTGATCCTTGATGGGGGAAGCATCACTTTTCTGGAGAATTCATTTGTGGAGAAAACCTCGTTCCCCCCAAATTATGTATGAGTGAAATGTGACTATATTTAACAGTATTGAGTGCTAATGACATGGTTAGTGTGTTGTTTGAGCAATGTTGTGATGGCTTTGATGTAGAAACATAATTCTTTACCACTCATGTGAAGGACAATTTGGGTAGTTCAATTATTTCCATGCAAAGAGGGGCTCCTGGGTGGCTCAGTCAGTTAAGCATCTGCCTTCGGCTCAGGTCATGATCTCAGGGTCCTGGGACTGAGCCCTGCGTCAGGCTCCCATCTTGGTGGGGAGTCTACTTCTCCTTCTCCCTCCCTTCTCTCCACTTGTGCTCTCTCTCTCTCTCTCTGTCTCTCTCAGATGAATAAATAAAATATTTAAAAACAATTATTTCCATGCAGAAACCAAGCAGTTCACATCATTGAACCTTCTGCAGTTAGATGGGAGGTGGCAACAGATCTTATTGTATGCCAACTCCGTCCCAACCCCTTCCTGTAAGACCCTCAACCATAGTCCTGTTTTCATTAAAAAATAGGGTAGGAGAAATGTAGAAAAGCAGCAGAAAGAAATGAACCCTGGAAGTCTTATAGCCCACTATTACTGTTGGCAACCCCTGGGCAGTCTCTGGGAGGTCAGTTGCCTGTTTGTTGAAGTGCTGATTGAAACTCTGGGACACCGGTTCTTTCCCTTAATACAAAACCAATTTCAAGCCAAGGCACTTAAGACCTTTTGAAAACCTTCTCCAAAATAGCATGTGATATCCTGAGGAAAAAATAAACCATGATTTAGTAAACGAAATGATCCACGTAGTAAGGATGGCTTTATATAGTGTTCTCACAGAAAGAGAAAGCACAGATGGTTAAGTGTGGCCAGGAAAAAAAAAGTCTTTGGCCCACCCATGTGAGTTCCAACTTGAAATGGACTTCTCCATATTCCCAGCCCAGTGTTTGCTCCCCACCAGCTCTGGGAAATGGGTGGAAGGATTCTCACCAAGCCCTGGAAGCAGAAAGTCCACTTACCTGACGATGCTCTGGAAGAAATTAAGGAATGATGATGGCATTTTATAGTGACCATGGCATTAAATCTTGCTCCTTCGGATTGATTTTGCCATAGGCTCATTGTCATTTTATTCCAGATGGCAAAAGTCAAGGCTGGGGAACAGTGCTGGCCTAATATTTGACTTCAGTTTAATTGCTGGTAATCATGATGAGAAAGACCGCAGAGTAAAAGAGGGCCCACAATGAGAGTTTGGCTTTATGCTGCTTGGCAATTGACTCCTATCCTCTGTTCAGGCCCTGTTCTCAAGTAATCTTACACTAGCTTGACCCTGACTTTTTATTTTATTTTTTTTAAAGATTTTATTTGTTTATTTATTTGAGAGAGAGAGCAAGCAGGGGTGGAGCAGAGGGAGAGGGACAAGCAGACCCTGTGCCAAGCATGGAGCCTGACGAGAGGCTCGATCCTATGACTCTGAGATCACGAACCCAGCCGAAATCAAGAGTCGGACGCCCAGCTGACTGAGCCACCCAGGTGCTCCGACCCTGACTTTTACATGAATGAAGATTTTGGGCCTCACTTACAATATTGTATGTCAGGGTTGTCCGTGTGGCCATGGTGATGATGACACATCTTGTTGCCTATGCACTATGTGCCAAGCATTTGCTGTGTGGAGCCCTTCACGGAGGTTATCTCATTTAATCTTTACAACCACTGGGATGAAAATCCTCTAATGACTTCCCAGTGGACTTATAATAAAAACCAGACCCTCTACCAGGGCCCCTAAGGCTCAGCATGATGCTGCCTCTTCCTACCTCACGTCCTGCTTCTTTCCCACTTGCTCTGCCTCGTTTTTTTCTTGAAACACCCCAAGCTCATTCCCTCCTTGGAGCTTTTCCACCAGCGGTCCCCTCTATCTGGACAGCTCTTCTCCTAGACCTCGGCACAGATGGCTCCTCATTGTCATTCAGGTCCTGGATGAGGTCTCACCTCCCAGAGAGGGTTAGCTTGACAACTCTGTCCAGAATACCTCCTGATACCCCTTACACATCACTCTGCTTTATTTTCATCTAACACCTAATACTCCCTGAAAATGTTCTTGTTGAATGATTTTTAAAAACTCTCCATCTCCACCCATTTGAATGTCAACTTCCTGAACATTTGGACCACACATGTTCTTTATTATTATGTTCCTAGCTCTCAGAACAGTGCTTGGCACATGGTAGGTATTCAATATATGAAGAACTCCAGTTTCCAGAGCAGGAAGCCGAAGCATTGAGAGGTTAACATATCTGTCTTAAGCCACACGACTCCTAAGGCGCATGAAGGATTTATCCAGGCTTAATTCCAAAGCCCATTTTCCTAACCACCATGCTATGACACAGATTAATAGATCTCTTTCCATCAAACCTGGACTCATGTAAGGGTTATAGTGAAAACAAAGCTTAGATGCCCAAGAGGGGAATTCTGGTTGTGTTTTAATCTACTAAGTTAATTGAGTGGGTTAAGAGCTTCTGTATTGAACCACTATGCACTTTTTTATGAACCACTATTAAATAATGCCCGTATTTCTCCAAAGTGCTGAATTTCAAGATTGTGCCCTCAGGAGAGAGCAGAGCTGTGAAAATATTTCACTTATGTCCTAATAGCTCTGATCAAGATAGATGCTTTTATTTTTTTCAGGAGTTTATGTGAAATGAAGCTTAAATAGACATATAATGTGGGCTGTTCTAAATATTCTTGATTAAGAAGCTTAAATATAAGCATAAGAAACAGCAAGTAATAAATGCTATCACCTTTGTTGCATTTTCCTGCATTTACTTATTTTAAGATATGTGATCTATATTTGACAAAGAGTACACAAGTTTGCAGCCTTGCACTATATTTTCATCATGTTTTGAATTATGTGTAAAGAATAAATGTAATTTCTGGGTTCTTCCAATCTCCTTCTCTAAAGCTCTCCTTAAGTTATTTCACACCCTGCAAAGTTTAATTTAACCATGCTTGTTTTATTTGATAGGTTAAACGGAATTAAATTGGTTTTAAAATAAATTACGCTGCAAATAATAAAACTGTTAATAGGAAATACATTCCTTAATACTAATGCTATATTTCTTGTGGCTTCTGAAGCCCAGTTATTATTATCATGACAGACAGTCTTAGCCTACAGTTGACCAATTTATGGGTGAATTTTGGTAACACAAGGAAAAGTGTGTGTGCATGGGTGTGTGTGTGTGTGTGTGTGTGTGTGTGTGTGTGTGTGTGTGTGTGTTGAAGAAGGCAAGATCGTTTACCTTTTGTGGCTCTGCTTTCTCTGATCTCACAGTGAGAAATTTCCTTCCTTTCTTTTGTTCTCTAGTTTGGAAATCTTGAGTATGATCGTCCCAATGAGTTAGCTTCCTTTTACCAACATAGAAAGCTAACAAGCTACTGGTGCTGGGCTATCTGCTATGGGTATCTCAGAAGTACCTTTCATCTCCAGTTCCAGAAGCTGGGAAGCCTGCTCATACTGCTCAAGAAAAGGAGGATGGGCTCCTGAGATACTGAGTTGAGCCTTATATTTGTCTTTTCCCGTAAAAATACTGCTATATTACTGCTTGATGAGGTAGAAATCATGGTGTTATTAGTGTAATGTGTATTTGTATTTTTGCAAACTTGCCCTGGAACAAATGAGAAAAAGATTTCCCATTCTAAATGACCAGCGAATAAGCTGCCTTTGGGAAGATAACCCCTTCCTAAGTTGAGGGCTGCTTACCATTATGCACTTGACTCTATTAAGTTTGTAGCTGGTGAATGTTTATGGTCTTACTGTGTCTTGATCCTGTCTGTGAAGTTGGGCTTTGAAACATGAATCACATATTAACCTCATGAAGACATCGTATAGAAATAAGCAGCATGTATCTCTAAGTTGAATTTGACCTTATGGCTCTGTCTTTACATAGGATTTATATAAAAGGTGTGTCTGAGAGGTTCAAAGAGTGAAAGAAAGAAAAAAATGAAAGGGAAGAGGGAAGGAGGGAAAGAGGGTAGGACTGAGGAAAAGAAGAAAGGGTTGGCAGGCTCTAATACTAGTTTCTCATTATCAAACCTGTTTTCTTGCCTTTATTTTCATCATTATTGAATCCATGGTAAAAACCTGTAAAAATAGTAATGTGAAATGTAATTAATTCGTTCCTTTATTCATTCTTCATTCTTTTTATGGACTCCTTCACTGTGCCAATTTTTTTTGGGGGGGTACTGGGTACAGTATACTTTCTTGATTGTACTTGACAAGGTAGGGCTCCCCAAGCCCCTCTCCTAATTCAGGGGATCTGGGATGGAAACTGTGGAGGTTGGGAGATTCTCAGTGTGTTGGGGGATGAGTTGGGGCTGCTCCCCAGCAGCTGAGGGCCTCTCTCTTCCTCTTGCTGGGACTGGTGGTCCAGGGAGCTCTTACATTTTGGAGGCCATGCGGACCATAAGGTCCACCACCCGGTTGCTGTAGCCAAATTCATTGTCATACCAGGAAATGAGCTTGACAAAGTGGTCACTGAGAGCAACAGCAGCCCCAGCATTGATGGTGCAAGAGTGACTGTCACTGTTAAAGTCACAGGAGACAACCTGGTCCTCAGTGTGGCCTAGCCTGCCCTTGAAGGGGCCCTCTGATGCCTGCTTCACCAGCTTCTTGATGTCATCGTATTTGGCAGCTTTCTCTAGGAGGCAGGTCAGATCCACAAATGACATGTTGGGACCCAGAAAGCCATGCCACTGATCTTTCCATTCAGCTCAGGGATGAACTTGCCTACAGCCAGTAGAAGAAGAGATGATGTTCTGGACAGCTCCTTGGCCATCATGCCACAGCTTCCCAGAGGGGAAGCTTCTGGGTGGCAGGGACAGCATAGACTGTGGTCATAAGTCCCTCCATGATGCTGAAGTTGTCATAAATGACCTTGGCCAAAGGGGCCAAGAAGTTGGTGGTGCAGGAGGCATTGCTGACAATCGTGAGGGACTTGTCATACTTCTCATGGTTCATGCTCATCACAAACATGGGGGCATCAGCAGAAGGAGCAGAGATGATGACCCTTTTGGCCCTACCCTTCAAGTGAGCCCCAGCCTTCTCCGTGGTGGTGAAGCCCCCAGTGGATTCCACAACATACTCAGCACAGGCATTGCCCCATTTGATGTTGACTGGGTCTCACTCCTGGAAGATGGAGATGGGCTTTCCATTGATGACAAGTTTCCTGTTCTCAGCCTTGACTGTGTGGGGAATTTGCTGTGGGTGGAATCATACTGGAACATGTAGACTGTGTAGTTGAGGTCAATGAAGGGGTCATTGGTGGTGACAATATCCACTTTGCGAGTTAAAAGCAGCCCTGGTGACCAGGTGCCCAGTGTGGCCAAATCCGTTTACTCCCACCTTCACCATTGTGTCTCGGGGTCAAGGCTGGCTCTGCACCAGAAGATGCGTCTGTCTGTCCAACAGGGAGGAGCCGAGAGCCACTGTGCCGAGTTTTCTTTTAAAATTCTACTAAATAGCCTGCAGAGGGTGCACTTTCCTTAATTTAGGTCCTTCCAACTGCTTACTGACCAAAAAAGGACAAATTGTTATTTATGAGATTAAAAACTATTGTCTTGTCATTCACGACAACATGGATGGACCTAGAGGGTATTATGCTAAGTAGAACAAATACCATATGACTTCACTTACATGTGGAATCGAAAAACAAGACAAATGATTGAACAAAACCCAGAAACAGACTCATAAATACAGAGACCAAACTGGTGGTTGGCAGAGGGGAGGGGTATGGGAAGCTGGGTGAAATAGGTGAAGGGGATTAAAAGGTACAAATTTCCAGTTATAAAATGAATGAGTCATAGAGATGTAAAGCACCGCATAGGGAATATAGTCAATAACATTATAATAATGTATGGTGACAGATGGCCCCTACACTTACCCTGCTGAGCATTGTGTAATGTATAGAGTTTTCAAATCCCCAAGCCGTACACCTGAAACTTACATAATACTGTATGTCAAGTAGCCTTCAATAATAGAAGTTTTAAAAACTATGCAATAAAAAGAAGTACAAGTTCTCTTTTCTTTCCTCTACCAAATGTTACGAAATGGAATATGTAAAAGGCATAGGAAATATAGTCTCTTTTACCTTTTTGCTAATACAAAAATCAGTCTTGATGTCTTCCTTGCTTTACATGGAGCTAGGCTCATCAAGCCTTACGAACTGAGGCTTTTTTTTTTTTTAATTTGCTACATCCTTTTGGCTTCCTTTTCTCCTCACTCTTTTGTGTATGTGTGTGTATGTATCCCTAACTAAAAACTAGCACAACAGAGTGTACTACAAAATGGTGCTAAGTATGCAGGGACCCTTCATGTTTAATTATCTACTGATTTGGAAGCAGGAAACATGAGAAATGGTCTATGTCCTTTTGAGAGACTTTTATCTACCAATTCTGAGAGCTTTTTAATAGAATGTAAATCATATTTTTTAGCCAATCAATTTTTAAGGGGCTCTCATTCCTTCTGTCACAATATGAGGTACAGACTTTAATCAAAACCTTCAATTTTGGGGGCGCCTGGGTGGTTCAGTTGATTAAGCAGCTACCTTCAGCTCAGGTCATGATCCCGGGGTCTTGGGATGAAGCCCCGCATCAGGCTCCCTGCTCAGTGGGGTGTCTGCTTCTCCCTCTGCCCCTCCCTCTGTGCTCTCTCTCTCTCTCACATGCTCTCTGTCGCTCAAATAAATAAAATCTTTTTAAATAAACCTTTAATTTTATTTTTCTGAGTGTTCATTTTCAAATGTATAATAACAATGACCATTTATTTCAGACTTCCTATGGGCCAGGGACTGTGTGCTAATTGTTTATCCGAATGATTCCATTTAATAGTTACAATAGCCTTTTGGGTTGGGTACTATTACCATCACCTCTATTTTAAAGATGAGGTCACTGAGGATAGGAAGGGTTAGGGAGTTGTCCTGTGTGGCCCAACTAACACAGCAGAGCTGGGATTTCATGCTCGGTCTGAATGACTCTAAAATCCTGGCTTTTTAAACTTTATGCATGATATTTCCCAAGTTGTGGGTATATTAACTGCAAGTTTCATATGTTGGTGAAGAGTATTATACTCATGGAAGGAATCCCAGACTTTCTGTAGTCACATCTCTCTGCTTTATGGAAAAAAACAAAACAAAACCCAAACCTGATGCCAGAGCAGGCTCAGTGGTTTCTCCATTGAACATCCAGGACCAGAACCCAGGCCTTCTGACTCCAGGCCCAGTGCTCTTTCCTCTGATTAGAAATGTCTCCAGATTTAAACTCCAGTTTATAGGACCATTAATAATCCTCTCTAAAGAAGAGGCAAGAGGTTTCAAATTCTTCTCAGAGCAAAAAAGAACTGACATCAAAAGGTTTCTTTGGGGTCATTTGTCTCATGGTGACTTTGAGTTGGCCTTGATCTTTATTTAGAATTTCAGTTTTATGCTCTGCAACAAGTTTGGCCTTGTTGGAGGACCGTCCAAAGGTCAGCAAGTTGGCTGCTGGTGATTGGATGCGCACTCAGAAGCCAAAGTCTATTACTGTGCCCATGGAAATCCCCAGCTCGCCTCTGGATGAGTATCACATCCACTCTCTGGAAGCTGTGGGCCTTGTGGGCTTTTTGCACACTGCTCCCTAGGAGCCTAATGCTGGTTGAACAGCACTTAATTCTGCAAGGATCTGGGTCACAGCGGGACAATGGTTCTCCAGTGTTCTGGGTTTTTCTCTTTCTTTCTCTCGTTCAGCCAATGATTTTGATTCTGTTTTACTTTCCCCAAAAAGGTGTGGTTTAGAGTCCAAAGAATCTTCCTGACTTTGTTTAGCTGTGCTATTTTGTACTGCTTTGATTTGAGTACAAATCTCCCCAGTATCTCTAAGGCTCACAGAAACTCACAAAAATTTTCTTTCCAAGTAACAGCCCATGCTGTCTATGGATAGGCTTACCCTACTCTTGCATATGCAACACATTTCATATTGAACATTCTGTTTAAGTATTCCTACAACTATTATTTCTCAGCTAATATTGGATTTGTTCCAAAAGCAAAATATATATATATATATATATATATATATATATATATATATATATATATTAGGATTTTATTTATTTATTTGACAGAGAGAGCACAAGCAGAGGGAGTGGCAGGGAGAGGGGGAAGCAGGCTCTCAGCTGAGCAGGGAGCCCAATGCCGGGCTGGATCCCAGGATTCTGGGATCATGACCTGAGCTGAAGGCAGACTCTTAACCGACTGAGCCACCCAGATGCCCCAGCAATGATATTTTTCAAGGATAGAAATACCCCTTTATAGCCCATCTAATAAGATATTGCTGTTTATCTATGAAAAGGAAACATCTGGGTTTGAGTTCCAGCCCAGTTACTTAGCATGCAGTGATCTTGGGCACATCAAGTAATTTCTTTGAATCTCAGTTTCCTTACCAGTAATACAAGAATGATGATAATTACCTTCTGCATATAGGATTAATGTGAGAACAAGGGACATATATACCAAAGTGCTTTGTAAACCATAAAAGCTTCAAACCTTAGTTTATGTCACATTGTCACATACCTGTGTGAACACTTGAATGCATATATGTTATTGACATGCTTGTTTATATGTCACGATTTAGGCTTGGACCAGTCCGGGCCATAGTTGTGACTCTAGGGCTGTGGTTCTCAACTGGGGACACTTGTGTCCCCCCAGGGGATATTTAGCTTTGGAGATTTAGTCTGGAGATATTTTGGGGTGTCACATTAACAGGATGGTACTGGAATCTAGCAGGTAGATTCCAGAGACTCATTTAAACATCCTACGATGCCAGGATACCTCCCTACAACAAAGATTGATTAGGCCTAAAATGCCAATAGTGCTGAATTTGAGAAACTTTCCTCGAGAGCAGTGCCTCTCAAACTTTAGCATGCATCAGAATCACCTGGGGGCTTGTTAAAACACAAATTGCTGGCTCCTATCCCTGCATTTTCTGATTCAGAAAGTCCAGGCTGCGGTCCGAGAATTTGAATTTCTAAGAATTTTCCAGATGATACTGATGTTGCTGGTCCAGGGACCACACTTTAAGAACCATTGCTGGAAACATTTCCATCAAGATAGGCTTCTTCACTTAGTCAGTGCAGCAAAATAGTGTCTTTACTTGGTAAATGGTACAAAATTTGTATTAGCTAGTCTGGCTCCAGGTCTAAATTCTTTGTGTGATCTATGTGTGATTATAGGCAATGACAAGGCTTTGCCTCACGGAGGGAAGCTGCCCTCCTCACATCAGAGATGGTACACAGTTAGTGCATTACAGTTTTCTGGAGGGAGTTGCATTTGAGGACTCAGGTCCCCCCATTCCGCCATGCTCACATACATACCCACCTTCCTAACTCAGAGGTCTCTATTTATTGCCTTGACTAAGACACTTCTCTTGACTTGCCTTTCCATTTCTAGCCCTTCCTATCTTCGCCTCCCCAGCTTATGGGGCTGGGAAGTTCATGAGTGGATCTGTCCTCAAGGGGAATGAAAGGAAACCATCAGGCCTGCCCCTCTGCTTTCTTCCTGTCCTCTACATGCTGGTCTTACTCTCTTCCATTTCAGAGGAGCTTCCTCCATATGGTTGGGAAATGACAAACAATGATTAGAGGCATGATTAGTGCAAGGTTTATAACATCTCATTTCAGCGACTACGAAGAAAAGTGAGGTCTCCTTTCTTTCATGATGTGTATTAAATCTCAGGTAAGAACTCTGATCACATCAAGTATAGGCCACTGATTATAGCTGGGGAATGGGAGGAGTACCATGATTGGCTGTCCCGCTAAAATCACAAGTGGGGGACAGGAATATCATCTTAGGGAGAAAGCAGTTGCAATTATCAGAAAAAAAATGATCCTGGGCAGACAGAACCAAAAAATCTTAACAAGCATCAAATAAGAATATGGAGGAGGTATGCATGTCATGATGAGACCTTGGATTTTTAATGTAGCTTAGATGATAAGTTTGTTTTTGAACACATTGTTTAGGTGTATATGGACTAAATGGTAGCCAACAGATATTTGGAACTTGCCTAAGGAAAATGAGAAAAGAAAAGAAAAGAAAGGAAGAAAAGAGAAGGGGAAATTGGAAATATTACTATTATGCATAAAACATGAGATAAAACAAAATTAAAATTTGTTTTAAATTTTAACAATCACCACTACAATTCCCCATAAGCCAACCTTGAGATGTCTGCTAAGTACCCTGTGGTGTGATGAACATTTCAGTTTTTAGGCTAGAAGACAGTGGATTTACTACCAGTTTGTTCTGAATCCTCTTGAAATGAATAGTTTTTCCTATAGGCACCATGGTCAAGCAGCATGATATATAGTTTCTTAGCAATTGACTTCCCATAATTTAGGCAGAAAACCAATATTCCAGTTTAGTTAAAACATGTAAAGATATAATTTTTATAATGATCTTTACCGTTGGTCAAAACGGGTTATCCCTTACTGTCATAACATGGGGATGAACAGAAGTAGAGGAGTCTTGATAATCTTTCCCCCAGGTTTTAGCTCAGTCAATAGAAACTGGTCAAGTAGTTAAGACTGGACAAGATCATAAGAGTGTATGTGAGAGCAAATCATAGATTCTGTAAATTGTGTCTGTACAATTGGAAGAAATTATAGTGGGAAACATCTACGGGGCATATTACCCAGACTTGCACTGTCCAATGTGGTATATATATAAACTTGACCATAGTGCCTATGGGAAAAATGATTAATTTCAAGGGGATTCAGAAGTGGGTGGGTGGGGTAGATGAAATAGACAAAGGGCACTAAGAGTACACTTATCATGTGCACTGAGTAACGTATGAAGTGTTGAATCATTATACCTGAAATTAATACAACACAGTATGTTAACTACACTGGAATTAAAATAAAAATATTAAATAAAATTAAAAAATCAATTCCTTAGTCATACTAGCCACACTGCAAGAGCTCAAAAGGCTTATGTGGCTAATGTCTACTATGTTGGACAGCACCTATGTAGAACATTTCCATCATCACTGAAAGTTCTTTGGACAATCCTAATCTAGATAGGATTGGGTCAAGTTCCCTTTCTTTGGGATGAAATAAACTAAATATAAATTTTAACAGGGATTTTTTTTCTCTTTCCTTGTAAATCCTGTCAACTCTACTCTTAAAACCTCATGGTATGTGGGTAAGGCAGGTCAGCGAGGAGTGGAAAACAGCAAAGCTCGCCTCCATGTGGAGGAGTTGCTTGTTGTTCAGACCCCTGTGCAGTTAGTTGTAAATGAAATGACTCTGTGGGCAGTCTATACCTGGAAACCTCAAGGGAAAGGAATGTGTTGTTTTTAAAGCATCATCTAGGGTGATGCTGATGCCACTCGTCCAAGGACCACCCTTTGAGGAGCAGGGCCTTGAGGGACACAAGCCCTGAGGCTGAGTGACAAGAAAATATGCGTCAAAAAGAAATGCAAACAGCATCATGGCTGGAGTTTGTGTTGATGGGAACTCAACACCATGGGCCAGTGGGTTGGAAAACCAGGAAAGATGAGAATAAGATGGCCCTTTTGAAGTAACTTGCTGCATAGGAATAAGTACCTGGTACAAAGGAGTTTGACAAAAGTTCTTAAGAGAGACATACACAAATATCCTCTTAACCTTGATTTTGTCATCTGACCCACAGAACTCAGTTACCAAGAAGGCACGCAAGAGATGCCCTATGCAAAAGAAAGCATCATGGAGCTGCTTTGTGTCAAAAACCAACCCAAGAGATGAAAAGAGGAAGTACAAAATACAAAGCCTTAAAACACATCCCAGATCTAACCACTTCTCTCTTTTTCCACTGATACCCCCTGAGTTCAAGCCACTAGTATCTCACTTTTGTAACAGCAATAGCCTCTGGATTCATCTCCCCCGTTTCCATTCTTGCCATTTATATACGGTCTCCCTAGAGCAGTCAGGGTGATTTTTAAAAATGGAAATTTCTTAAGAGGAAAAAAAGCATGCAAAAGAGGAAAATCCAGCATTTATTGAATCCCCACTATTTGCACCACTGTGTCCTGTTCTATCTTCTTTAACCTTCACAGTAATATATGAGGGAGGTTTCATAATTCCCTCCTTTTGGCAAAGATGGAAATTAAGGCTTAGAGAAGGCAAATAACTTGTCTGTGTTCGCCTAGCTAGTAAATGGTAGAACCATCGAAGAAACAAATGGATGATCAGACAGCAAAGGCCATAAGCTTCCAACTAGACTGCTTTGCTAAATACTGTTAAACCCCAAGAGATTTGTTACTGGGCCTCTTTCCATTGAGGAAGAGAGGAACTCGTTGTACCTTTATCTACCTGTTTGTTTATCTGAACTTCGTGTCTTCAGTTATGAGGACAATAGCCTCTTCATCAGGTTGAAGTGGAAACTCTCTATTCCTTTTACTTCCAAAGATGCCAAAGTGGCAGGTGGACTTTTGAAGTGGCTTCTGCTGAAAGGTCCCCTCCCTGATCAAGCTGGGCCATTGTCCTAGGGTTTAGGGCAGTGGCTCCCATGTTTTTGGGTTTAAAGCTTAGCTGGAAACACTGGTTTTTGAAGGCACCACGGGTACAGATCGAAAGAGTCAAAACAGAACACATACAAAAAAGCCAGTGAAAATGATAGCAAAGTATGATAAAGTAAAACAGAATCTCAGAATGTGTAAATTGGGGCACCTGGGTGGTTCAGTTAGGTAAGTGTCTGACTCTTGGTTTCTGCTCATGTCATGATCGCAGGGTCCTGAGATTGAGCCCCGCATTGGGCTCCGTGCTGAGTGTGGAGCCTAGTTAAGATTCTCTATCCCTCTTTCTCTGCCCTGCCTCCCCACTCATGCTTTCTCTCTCTCCCTTTTTTTCTTCAAAAAAAAAAAAAAAGAATGTGTAAATACATCATGGTGCCCCTCTTTGCCTCTATGCTACCTCTTTCTCTGCATTGCTCTGCAAAGTTCTTTCTGTCACATCACTCTATTAAGGGGATGTACGCTGAGTTGCAGCAAAAATAAGTTTTATTACTTTCGTTATATTTTTTGCAGCTGGGGGATCTCTGTTAGAGTAGATGCTTCTTCCTTTCCTCCTAAGAAATAGACCACATCCGGGGCGCCTGGGTGGCTCAGTCGTTAAGCGTCTGCCTTCGGCTCAGGTCATGATCCCAGGGTCCTGGGGTGGAGCCCCGCATTGGGCTCCCTGCTCGGCGGGAAGCCTGCTTCTCCCTCTCCCACTCCCTCTGCTTGTGTTCCCTCTCTCTCTGTCTCTCTCTGTCAAATAAATAAAATTAAAAAAAAAAAAAAAGAAAAAGAAAAAAAGAAATAGACCGCATCCCCCTTTTATCCTCTGAGTGGCAGCACTGGGACATATGAGAAGCTTTTGGCATCAGCTACAGAAACAATGGAGATTCCTAAGCCTCAGTGGTTTCTGACTTCAGTGTATTCCTTTAGCTAAATCAAGTGATCTTCAAACCCTCGCCCCTCACCCCCAACATTCTCTAGCATAAAAGTCATTTAAACTTGCTTCTTGGGCTGTGGCTAAAGCAGAGGAGGGGGATGAAATTTTATACTATTAGAGATGAGTAATTTGTTTCAGTCCCCAGTTTTACTGATGAGGAAACTAAGAGGTTGATGTTACTTACTTAAGGTTATAGAGCTAGATATGGGAATAGTTATTGTAAGTGAAAAAGAGTGTGGATTTTAGAGCTGAATCCTGTCACTTACTAGCTGTTTTAAACCAGGAAAGCCATTTAAATACTTTGACCCTTTCTTTACTCATCTGTAAAACTAGGATGATAATATCTAGGTTGCAGGGTTGTTTGCTGTTGCAAGTTTAGAGATATCTATTACAAATCACTTAGAAGAGTCTGTTAGTTATCTATTGTTGTGTTACAAAAATTCCTGGACTTAGCAACTTATGACAGCAAACATTTTTGATCTCACAGTTTCTGTGGGTCAGGAATCTGGGGGTGGCTTGGACACCTCTGGCTCAGGATTTTTACAAAGCTGCATGATCTGTCATGCAAAATATCATTTACGTGGATGTGAAAGGCAGGAGTTGGGATCACTGGGGACCATCTTAGAGGCTGCTGAGCATGGAGTATCTGTTAGGTAACAGTCGATTTGGCTTAGATGAGGGGTCAAATTGTATTGGTACCCAGATAGCCTATTGGATCAGTCTTCATCTCTAGGTTCTATTTTCAGCCTGATCTCATTTAAAATTTTTATCAGTGACTTAGATGATGATATTAAACAATAGTCTTTAATATTTCCTGATCATGCATCTATAAAAACTTCTGAGCGTCTACCTCAATATACATATATTTATTTATAAATTATGAACGTCTGCTGACATTAATTTATAAACATCAACTAACATTAATTAATTAACTAATAGTAAGGCTTAATTTCTTTCTTTCTCTAGATGAATAAAACCGCCTAGAAACAGAAGTTTTTTTTTTTAAACCTGAACCCAAATGAATTGTCTCATGTATTCTCTGGGTATGTGTAACCTCCTGACATAGAAAGTAATGGAGACATAGGGAATGTGGTGAATACCAGAGTCAGGACCCAAATAAATCTCAACAGGCTGGAGTTATAGACAAATATACCAAGGTTGGGGACAAATCATGCAAAAAATCAACATCCCAGGTACATAAGTCTCCTTTTATGTAGATCCTTGCAGAGGTGGCTCTTCCAGGCAAAAGAATGACAAAAATTGTTTCCTTCTTCAGGGGACAAGGCTTGATGAACTGAGTGCAGGCTAGATTTCAGCCCCAATTTTTCGTCTCATCTGGGCCCCTTACACAGTGTACACACTGTATAACCATGCATGGCAGACCTGTGGCTTCCCAGTAGCACATGTGAAAAAGGGTCTTGGGGATGCCTGGATGGCTCAGTTGGTTGAGCGTCCAACTCTTGGTTTTGGCTCAGATCATGAATTCGTGGGTTGGGGGAATGAGCCCTGCGTCGGGCTTCACACTCAGCGGGGAGTCTGCTTGAAGAGTCTCTCCAACTTGGGTGAGTTTTAGGTCAATTAACTGAGGCCCAGGGAACAGAGAAATCAAGTACATGGTAAAAACAGGCTTCAGAAATAAGGCTAAATTTCAATTATTAGAGATGGAGCACACATTTGGCCCAAGACATCCAGACTGATTTGATGCCATCATTTTGTTTTTGTGTTTTGACCCCTCACAAGAGAGACACTAATTCCCTACCTCTTGAGTGTGAGCTGGACAAATGACTCAATTCCAAAGACTAGGATATGGCAAAATATGTATGACCAGGTCATAAAAAGATGTCATGGCTTTTTTCTTACTCTCTCCCTCAGATCTCACATTCTGGAGGAAGCCAGCTGCCACGTTGTGAGGACACTTAAGCAGCCCTGTGGAGAGGTACATGTAATGAGGCCTCTTGCTAACAGCCATTTGGAGGAGCCATCATGGAAGCAGACCCTTTAGCTTTTGTCAAGACATCAGATGACCACTGCCCCAGGTTGACTGCAACCTCATGAGAGACTCTGAGCCAAGACCACCTAGCTGAGCTGTGCCTAGATTCCTGACCTAAAGAAACAGTGTAAGGTAAAAGATGTTTGTTGTTTTAAGCCAGGAGTTGGCAAACTATAAATGGAAGACCAAATCCAGCCTGCTGCCTGTTTTTGTAAATAAAGTTTTATTGGAACACAGTCATGTCCATTGATTTACATATTGTCTATTGCTGCTTTCCCATTACAATGGCAGGGTTGAGTAATTGTGATAGAGATTATGTGACCCACAGAGCCAAAGATAGTTATCATTTCATTCTTTATGGAAAGAAAATTTGCCAATCCCTGCCTCAACTGTTAATTTTTGTAGTAATTTTTTTAAATACAAGAATAGATATGTAACACAGAGGAATATGGCAAATATTCCTAAGAGAGATATACAAGAATAGACATTTGCTTCTTTTAAAGATTTATTTATTTATTTGAGAGAGAGAGTGAGTGAGTGCATGAGGGGGCAAAGGGAGAGAGAGAGAGAGAGAGAGAGAGAGAAACTTCAAGTAGACTCCCCACTGATCATGGAGCCTAATGCAGGGCTTAATCACAGGACCCTGAGATCATGACCTGATCTGAAATCAAGAGTCTAACACTTAACTGACTGAGCCACCCAAGGGCCCCAGCATTTTCTTCTTTATACTGATTTTGTCATATCTAGCTATGACCTCTGGAAGTGCTACTGCCATCTTGTGACCAAGGTAAGAGTCAGTTGAAGGATAAAGCCATCGCAATTAGAATAGCAGAGCTTAAAGAAGCAAAAACCATTAGAGACCCTATAGTTAATAGAGAACAAACTGAGGGTTGCTGGGGGCAGGTGGGTGGGGGATGGTCTAAATGGGTGATGGGCATTAAGGAGGGCACTTGTGATGAGCACTGGGTGTTGTATATAAGTGATGAATCACTAAATTCTGTAGCTGAAACCAATTTTACCATATATGTTAACTAACTGGAATTTAAATAAAAACTTGAAAAAAAAAGCAAAAAGCTGGGTGTGATGCTAATTTTATGTGTCAACTTGGCTGGGCTCAGGGATGGCTAGATGGCTGGTATAACATTATTTCTGAGTGAGTCTGTAAAAGTGTTTCCAGAAGAGATTAGCACTTGAATCTGTAGACTAAGTAAAGAAGATGGCCCTCACTAAGGAAGGGGAGCATAATCCAATGTTCTGAGAGCCTTAATAGAACAAAAAAGATAGAGGGAGGGCAAATTTTCTCTCTTGCTTGAGATGGGATATGCATCTTCTTCTGCCCTTGGCCGTTGGTGCTTGGGTCTCAGTCTCAGTTTGGTACTTACATCATTGGCTGTCCTGGTTTCCAGGCCTTTGGGTTTGAAGTGGAACTACACCACCAGCTTCCCTGGGCCTCCTGCTTGTAGATGGCAGATCGTGGGACATTTTAGCCTCCATAACTGCATAAGCCAATCTCCTATAATAAATCCTTTCTATATATCTATATGAATCTTAGCGGTTCTTTTCCTCTGGAGAATCCTGACTAATACATTGGGTCTGCGATAAAGTTATCAAGCCACTGAATTAATCAACACCAGAACTAGTCTACCTCAACTCTGTCTTGTACCCTACAGATTTTCTTATTGTTTCAGTTCTTTGAGTTGGAATTTTGGTTACTTGGCCCTAAAATCATCTTAATTATATGACTATATATTTGAACAAAGTGGCTCTGCAAGCAAACAGAGCCTAACTCCACTCAAAAGCCTGTTAATTTGTCTAGGCAACTGGGGAATGTGTCAGTGATACATTGGAGGATCTTTGTAGCAAAACTCAAATTGCCTCCACCTCCCACTTTTCCACTGTTTCCTCCTCCCCTCCAGATCTGCACTGGTCTCCATGGGAAGGGAGCTGGAACACATTAGGCTGCCCTGGATTCCTGGTGCCTTGAAGGGCATGCATAATAAATTAAAGACCTGGGAGAAGAATGCACCTAAAGAACACCCTTAATAGCTTGTGGCATGCCCATTGCTTTCATGGTGGCCTTGACACCTACCCCCCCACTCTGACCAGTGAGTGGTCTAGGGAGTGCAGAGTAGGCCTGGTCTGCTGGGTCAGAAC